TTGTTCGTCTTCCCAAAAGCTTGCAGGTGTTTCCTATGGTGGCATGTAAGCAGGCAAATTTACTAGCCAGTAGAATGCTAAAGACAGATTCTCTACTTTCCTACTTACCTTCAAGAAGCTGCACTATTGGTAATTTATTTGGAGACTATTCTGAGGGCGTTCAGCAGCAACCGTACCTGTTCCGCAGGCCTCGCACTAAAAGATTTTATATTTCTCGACCACCTTTTAAAATATATGCAAGCTGCAAGCTTACAGTGTTTGTCAAAAATGGCGAAACTGCTTTCTTCAGAGGAGGCTTGCGATTTTTAATTAACGGCAATTTTGGAATCGGGAGGAGATTTCGAGTAATGTGTTATGATTACTCACTGTTACCATTCAAAATGAAATTGCTCGAATTTGTTAAAAGAAGTAGCGCAGTTCTATGAAATAAATCCAGGTTTGGAAATGCTGTTTTTTAGACAAAAAATCTTTTTCATCAACAGTATCCAGCTTACGAGTCAGACAAAGTTATATGACTTGGACATACGATAAAGTAGGTGTTAGAGCTCCAAAGGTATAAATTTTTTGACCAAAATATCATGAAAATGAGGAGAAGCGACGATAGGAAGAAATCACGGAAAGTTAGGTAACAACCTATATTTCCCGGCTATTTTGGAGTTAGAAAAAAGAGATATGCGACTTTGCCTGAGAAAATGCGCCTTCGAAAGGAATGTTGATCCGCAGAAACTAATCTGTGCTAATATATATTGCGTGATAGTCACAGCCTCGTAACTTTGAGAAGTTTCGCATATGACATTTCAGCGTCATGTCAATCGCAGGTTTCCAAACGCATACCTAATTGCCCTTATAAGAAAGTGGCAACCTCCTACGAATCGATTCGATTGGGCCACACGCGTGAGTACATGCTCATTCATAAATCTGGGGCATTTATTGCGTAAGGCTGAAGGTAAGTTTGCCAAAAAGTATACAGGAGAGAAACTTATTTGTTGGTACTTGATTTATTGCCTCAACAACAAAAATAATTAAATACAGTGTAACAAGACGGAGAATAATTAAGAATTAATGCATAAACATTAAAGATAATATATATCCAAAGTAGAAGACTAGCGTCCGGCAATAAATGATTTCAGCTCACACTCAAATGTTTGGGGATTTGGTGTGTATGGGTGACAACAGCAGCGGCATACCGATCCAGATTGCCTGAAAAATGCTGATATTGGAATTATACCATGGTCATTTAGCTTCGGGATCGACTATAGAATATGGCTATTTACTTGAGAGCTTGTGCCATCTCATCTTTTAGGGAAAAAAGGTGCTACAGCAACTTTTGATTCCGAGTCTAAAAACTTCATTTCTACGTAAACCTTTAGAACCACAAATGGCAACGCAAATTAGTAATGGAAGATGTTTTTTTTTATTAATTAGCTGTGTTCTCCTAGGTGCAGCTGCTACCAATGGGTAAATGGGATAATCACCATCACCAGTCAATTCAGCATCTCTCAGCAATCTTTATGCTGGTTCTTGAGACAGCGAGGAGTGAAGGCACTTATGGGGGAGGTTCCGAATCGTTTTTCTGTCAGTTATCTTTGCGCAAGAAATTAAAAGACTAGTTTATCTCTCACTAAAAAAAGCTGAACTTTATTGCTTTGTTGTAGTAAACAGTTACCTATGTTGCGGAAGGCAAGTGAGATAGTCTAGCCCATCGATTATTTGCTGCATGCTTTCAGTAACGTTTGGAAGTTGAATTGAGGAATTGGGCCAAAGCTTGCAGTCCGGCACATACTTTGATATACACGCCTGCAAAAACCTTTTTCATTCTTCGTCTCACACAAATTATCACAATGGTCTACCTGGTTCTGTTCCAGACCCAAGCAGCGACGCTCAGCTACGAAAAGCGGATTAATCATAGTAACTTCGCCTCTGGAATTGTTTTTCGTTATAAAAATAGTAGGTTTGAGATGTCATGCTTGTTTACTATAAACACTTCATATCAGTGGTTTTGTACTTGTTAACATGACAGAAGCAATATTCCTGGTTATATTTCCATCCTGTAAAGCCTCACTGTATTAGGAGCACACCTCTTGAACTATCCGTCAAATCATTATAGTTCAGTTGTAGGATCCTGTTGAACTATGCATGATATGGGTAGCGTCAATCGTATCTTACAGGAAAACTTACTAGATAGATAATGGTGTCGCTGTAGTCACTAGTTGGATCATGCTTATAATTTCAATATATCAGAGAGACTAATAATTTGGAATACTTTTATTTTACAGAAATATCAACCTGCTGTACTCAAGACGTGATGCTCTATTTCTCAAAGAATACTTTCAGCTTAATCGTAGCATAGCGTTCTTAATGTGAGGAGGAAAACCTATGGGTAGAAACCTATGATTGTGTGAATTTGGGCTATTACGTGGCAATCTCAACAAGATAAACTCAGATAGCATAACCTTTGAGGGAAAAGCGGACAAAACGGTTTCTGAATTCCTTCTTCTTTCAGGTTACATATGATGGAAAATTTTTACGGTCGCCCTAAGGTTTGAGCGATTTCTCGATTAGGCGGTCATTAAAGTCTAACAACAGCGAAAATTTCTCCTTGGTTTTGAGCTGTTGGTACAAATTTATGGCTGAATTATTATAAAGAAGCTCAGATAAAAGTAGTAGCAGTGTTCCCTGTTAGCATATACAACTGAAATGCAATATCGTTAGGACGCAACCTGGATAGGCGCCAGTTTCCAATTCTTTATTTCTCCAGCATTTTGCACTATCTCTCCGCAATGTCGTTAAAATTAATGAGGCCCTACCGTCGATGACATTGTCGTCCACAGCTCTGTTGATACGAACATTCCCCGCATTGCTGTTCGCTAATAGTTATTTCACGAAGGTAGCTGTAGAAGTTGTTAAAGGCCTGAAAGTGTACACCATAGCAAATGTACCAAATTCCGCTATTTTGAATGTCAGACAGCTTTGAGGTGAAGTCTGAAAAGAAAAATTTCAGTGCTATAGGATCACCGAGAAACAAAGTTGCTATGATGGAAAAAGATTCTTGGAGAACACAAACTGTTGGATATTAGCAATATTCTGATTATTATAAAAGCAATCTCATCTCATATAAAGTTTGGCCATTGTTAAAGATTTATGCGTAGTGTTGTTAGGGCAGTCTAAGAAGCGCTCCATGTAGTCTTTTACACTTTTTTGAAGAGATGAATACTTTGTAGAACACCTTATCAGGCTTGCTTTTAACCCATTAACTAAGGCATTATCGATTGTAGCAGAATACTTGTGATCGTCTCCTGTTCATAGAACTGGGCATTACAGAGTTAGTCAGGTACAATAAAATTATTCAGCCACTTGTATGGCATGGCAAAATTCTTATAATTATAGGAGTTGTGGTTCGACATTGTTTCTCATGCTAGCCTCTTGTTTGCTGAGGACTCAAAGTTGGATTGTTTTTTTTT